TATACACAATTCACAAATATTGAAAAAACCTACTGTTTAATTAAAAAAATATTGTAATAAATACCATTACATAATGCAAGAAGTATGTATTTCGCAAATACTTGGTAGTTGATAACTGATAACTGGATGTTTCAATTTTWCAGASTCGATGTTCGCCCCTCACAGAACTTCAGGGTATGCAGCTGCATACCCTGCATACCCCCTGCRCACGCCTATGCTATGCATAATTAAGCGTATAAAAACGTAATATATACAGTGTCCCGTGAGAATTTACCCATCGCGATATCTCCCAAAATAATGGTGATATCGAAATTCTGATTTTGTAATTTGTAATTTTGTAATTTCATATTATAATTTATCTTAATGTTTTGGTACAAAAATTAAAAAATATAATTTCATTTWATTATTTCCAAAAAAATTGAGCATAGTAATTTTGTAGTTTATTTTTCTGGAAATATTGACGTTTTAAAATTTTATTTTCATTAATTTCCTGATTTTTATTATTTTTTAGTTTCGAGAAAAATTGCGAATTATTTAACACTGTAATGTTATAAAACATGTGACACGCCGCGCCGCGCGCATTCCCATACTTCCAGCATAAATATAATATATAATATCTATGACCTCCAGCCGAATACTTTCCGTGTTCCTAATAGTTGTAATCATATTTTATTTCTTCTACAAATATGCGAAAATCWACTGAAATCGACGAAATATGCACTTTTTCTATAAATCTTACGAAATATGCAAAATATGCATTTTTAATTTTCAATTTTGAAACTCAATATTTTATGGCTCGGATTTCTAGCTTKGTCTGCTATAAATCGAGAGCATACAGAACAATATGCAACTCCTATAACTTCTGAACCCTTGTGGCTAGTCATTTCTTATTACTATCTTTTACAATTTGTKKTAATTTGAGATGTTATAATGTATTAGTTTAATGTGTGTTTTGCTTATTTAATACGCCTTACAAATTAAATATAAATTTAATAAAAAATATTATGTAGGTAAAATAGAAATTTAACTCGTACAATAATATTATTGTTTTTTCTTGTATTACTAAAGGTTTTATGTGCCATCACAACGTATTTTTGTTGTACGACTCAATCGAAGGAGCAAGTCAAACTATTTGGAACTGTGTAACACATGTCGCGGTCACAATATCGTTCTTGCTAATGGTTGCATTTGGGCTAGTTGGATATGCTACATTTGGTGATCTTACTCAAGGTACGTTGGTTTCCTTGTTAAAAATGGATAACTGTAAGTCGTACTTACACTAATAAACAATGTACAGGTGACTTGTTGGAAAACTATTGTTGGAATGATGATTTAATCAATATATCAAGGTTATTGTTCTCATTAACAACGCTGCTCACATTCCCGTTRGAATGTATGGTTACAAAAGCTGTTGTCGATCAGGCGCTTAGGGGTGGTACCGATCCCATTCCAATGTCAAAAAATAGACACGCTATAATTACAATTTCTATTCTTGTGGCAACCTACTTTGTTTCCATATCCACGAAATGTCTTGGAATAGCCTTAGAAATAAACGTAAGTATTAAATACGTTTTAGCATAGCTTATAATTTGTACAGAAAATGTCTTAAAAAGTTATTGTTTTCTTAAAAACTAGTTGGCTCCGCCCATTCTCKCTCTACGTATCTCCAACTAAACCATGCGATTCACGCCTAAGTGCTTAACCCTTTTTGCATCTTGAAATTTAACAACTTTAATTTAAAGTAAAATTTAAAATTATGTATGATATGTAATCATTTTACAYAATGGAGACATATATTATACTTAACYATTTAAAAGAACATATTAAGATTTGTGTATATTTAATACACAAATTGTTTATTCAAATATTATRTAGTCAACATAAATAACAATTTACACCAAATGTACACCATTTTGTATTATATTTTGTCTWTTCTAATATAAWTTTTTTTAGTTTTTTGGCAAATATTATGAATTATATAAACATGGTTAAAACTGACGGTTTCAAAGTTACAAAAATACCTATAACTGTATTAATACTAATTCTTTGGCATGGCATTTTTTAAAAATTGAATTCATCATTTTTATTTTAATGCCAGTTTGTCACTATGTCAGTATTTTAACGAAAGAGTTCCTTAAAAGCTATCCCGTGTACAAAACTCACAATAGTTTTGAGCAATTTCAGTTATTGAGCACTAATAAAGAAAACCATTTTCAAAGAGTATAATAGTTATACATTTATTAATAATATATATAATATTAATATTTTTATTAGGGAGTTTTAGCTGCAATTCCACTGGCATTTGTTTTACCAGCAGCAATCTATATTAAAATTTCCAATGATTCATGGATAAAAAAGGTAATATACTATCTTATTCTAATATTAACACACATGTAATTATTAGATTTGAAATTATTAGGCAAAGATTCTTAGGTTATTTATGGAACATTTTAATGTCAATTAAAGTATTACAAGTAGGTATTATACAAGATATACCTAATTGTACATAAAAAGACAATATATTTTAAATTATAATACATTTCATTTGTTATTTTTTCTTACATTTTAATTGAGTTTAAAACTTTTGTAGGTACATTATTTAAGAATAAATATAACTGAATAATTAATTAGTTTAAATACAGTTTAAAGTTCAAACAATCATCTACATATATACCTACATAGTTAAAAAAAAATTCTATTTTATTTTATTAGAAATTTGATATCTAATCTATACATTATACCTATAATTAAACATGATAAATATTCAGGAATAATTKTAATAATCTTTGAAGTACTCGAAAATATTTTAACAGAATTACTGTGCAAATGTTTGAATTAGGCTACTAATTGCTGTTATATTTATATATAAATAAAATATTTTTTTTAATTCATAACCAAATTAAATAATATTATAACATATTTACTATTTTTATTTATTTTAGATTCCTGCGTATTGCTTAGCCCTGTTTGGCACAGTAGTAGCTGCATCTGGAATATCATTAGTCGTATACGAGATTTTAACTTTTACTGCGGATTCTTGCGAAAATGATAAAATAATGGATCACTGTTACATTAACGACACGTACCTTCCAAATGGTGTCATTATCCATTGAACTAAATTGATTTTWWTAAGAATATAATTTAAATTATAACATTTATGGTTACATTCTAGTCTAACAAATATATTTTTTTCTTAACTCAGAAAGATTCTTACTTATTCAATCATGTATACAGGTATACTAGGTATAAGGTATACTAAACTTATATAATATAATAATATTATTAATTATTAGCACTTATTACCTATAAATTGTATGCATTGTTATATTTCATTAATGACATTTTGACACAGCTAGGTTCCTATCAATAAAACACTTTTTTCTTGTTTCTCCACGTATTTTTTGAATCCTAGAATTTTTTTTTAATGTTATATTTTTTCAATAGTTTGTTAACTTGTACAGTATTTTTTAATTTTCTTAAGCCTTAGTTTTGTCTCTATTCTATAGTGTTATGAATACATATAATATATAGAACTATATAGAACAAAAAACTAATAAATATATAATATGTATTATCTTGTTGGTAGGTTCTACAAGGTTACTAATAGTTTATACAATGACTAGAATTCATATTAAATTTAAAGTGGTTAATTCCGGTACCTAATAACGACTGTTGTCAACCAATTACTAGCACTTTTTAGGTTATTTATGAGTTCAATGGTTATTAATAGAGTTTCTGTAGGTACAGACGTACAGTTGTACAAGTGTTGAACTATATCTGTATAATTAATTTAAAAATTTAAACCTTGTATGTATAATGTTCTAGATTTTACACCCAAATATMAATTAATTAAAATAACTCGATAAGTAGGTAAATTAAAATTATACAAAAAAAGAAAACGAATATAACCTTAGGCATAAGCTATTTGGTTGAAAAGCCATGGTAATAGTGTACTTATGTCCTTCTAAAAACACTTCACTGATATTAAAAAAATCGACAAAGTCACATAGATACTTCATATACTTATACACACATAATATGTGTGATAAGATATTTTATCAATCGAGAGTTTAAAGTCGTAAAAAACATATTATGGTTATATATATATATAATATACCTAGGTCTACTAGGTGCACTTGAGTGTATGACACATACAAATTTTATTTTTTGATTAACTTAAAATCCAATTTTATAAAATATTTAAAAGGCATTGTATTTAAAAAGTAATTTTTAAGTATTTTTAAGACTATGTAGAAATATTCAAGTCAAGATTACTGTATAAAATAATTTATTCCAAAAATGTTACAAAATATTTTATAAAAATTGGTAGTTCCTCAAACAATTACTAAAACTTTTTCCGGGTATTTTTGCTTGTATAACTTTTAAAATGTCTTAACTTCAATATTTTTTAGCTTAAAGTAAAATTATGCAAATTAGAGATATCAAAACTAATTTCATTAATATTAATGTAATAAATGTAATATCTAGATAATACTTAGTTAATATCARTGTTTAAAGGATCCATAAATCCTAAGCCAAATTACATTTTGTATATTTTAGTTTTTAACTACATTTTTCTTTAAAAGAGGACATTTTTATTAATATTTAATTATTAGTAAAATGTTATGTAATACTAAAATATTATAGGTACTATCATAAAAAATATGAACTATATTAATACATTTGGATAAATATTAATACATTTATTCGCTTGTCACACTGACTTCTATTAAATATTAAATTTCATTTATTTACTAAATGTAAAATCATTACAAATAATAAGTGCTCCAAGCATTAATGTATTATTTTCCTAAATTAATTGATACTCGTAGTTAAAATAATTATAAATTAATCAATCATTTATAGAAATTTAATGTTGTTTTGGGTTTTCAATATAAACCTGACTATTATATAACTGTTTTAAATTGTGTTATTCATTGGCTATTCAATATTCATTATGTTTAATACAAAATAATTGATTTTACTTATTGTTTTATGAGTTTAATTATCATGTATAAAATTCTATTATTTCATTGTTATATTTAATTTAAAATAATAATAATTTTCTCATAGTATTTTCAATATTATAATTATTATAGTATAAGATATTATCATGAACCTATAATAATATATTTGTTTAAATAGGTAAGTTATATATTATGAATAATATGATAAACCACGAAACATAATGAATCATTTAGGTTAATTTATTATTTGTTTATTTAACGGGCTATTGTAACAAAATTGTAAATAATAAAAACATATATAGTAAACACAATAGTTAATAACACCTTATTAGAAACAATATTGTTATATAATACCTAGTTTAACAATMAAACACTGACTATAAGAGGATTAAAAGATCATTGTCCAAAGATTGAGTTTTGTCATTTCCTTACACTTAGTGGATAATATTATGAATTTAACCTGAAGTGACAGAAAACATTTTCTATAATCGTATTATTGGTCGTTATTGACATCTTCTAAAAATACCACAACTCATAAGTCATATAATAGGTACCTATACATATTATTGAAATCATCTAGGTGTATGGTAGTTTTTCTAATTTTAGCTACACATTTGTATACAATTTTAGATAGGTTTTAACGTTTTAACTAAGTTATTCATATTGCGAACCAATAATATGATTATATAGTTTTAAATGATCGTTTGATCGTTGAGATTTTTGTGGGTTTGGTAGTTTGGTCCAAGTTAAAGGTACGACGATGCGTATTAAATCTGGTTTATTCACAGTATTCTGTTATTATGTGTTTAACTATAATTTTATTATCTTTTCAAAAAAATGTAATTATAATTTTAAARTTTATCATATTTACTTTGTATAGGTACTAGGTAGGTAGGCTGCAGTATATAAAGTATACGCTGTGTAAAATCTTCACACGAATATTCAAGAAATATTGTGGAAACACTCGCTTATAAGTAACCTACATTGGCTATACTCTTGATATACACCTAAGTAATTATAATACATTAATTATATTAATTTTTAAAATCAGGGAGGTATGAATAATAGATACCTAGGTACTATAGTATACATTTTAATATAGGTTGGTATACTTAATATAAAAACAAAGTATCATGAAAARCAATTCATCATAACACAACAAATTTAACATTAACGAGGTAGTACGTACCTTATAGCTGTACAGGGGAGTAACCAGGAATCGGAACTGTGGATCTGCCTTATATACGGGTAATAATAACAACTATGTCTATATATGAATTACCAAGGCCTATTTACCTATTAATTATTTATATACCACCATATTGATGCCAACGCTCAATATAACTATTTATTTGACATAAGTCATCATAACTAATTGTTAAGTAAATTTTAAATTTTACAAACTTCAGGTATTAGTTAATAGTTATGTTTAATCGATTTAGGTACATTATTTAAGTCAATGAGTCTCAGTAAGGTTTCATACTCACTATTTGAATTTCAAATATTTCAATACTAGGTCTCCACGTCTCCATTAGTGGTGTCATTCGGAGTAGGGGGCATTTACCCCTGGTTGACTCTAACATCAGACTGATGTGTCGGTGTCCGGTTGTTATTGCCTGCATTATTATATTTTACAAGCGAAAAAAAATCATGCTTATTTTTACGATATTTTCAGGAGTACCTATTATATATTGTGTAATACTAAGAAATTATTAAAATACCTTACCAATAAACAGTTGGAATTAATTTATATAATATATTTTGATGCATGCATAGATTTTTATGAAATTTGGTACCTATGATGTGTATGTTAACTCCCCCCTCCCCTGTAATTAATTTCCATATATGTCACTGATGTTTTATGAAGGTAAATAAAGTAGGAACAAAATAGCATGCCGTTTTTTAWTTTTTTTTAAGTTGCCCATTTGTGCTTGCCAAAATTTTTGACCACTTAATGAAAAACTGAAATAACGCCACTAACTGYACTGATGTAGGTATACTACATCATAATATACTTATAACTTTATTTATGCAGAAACATTTTTGAGTCTGTGTACATTTTATTAGTTATTATTACCTWTTATTTTATTATTGATTATTGTACATATTTAAAAAAAATGTAGTAGGTATATGTAGTTTGTCATTTTGAAGGGCCGCATTTTACTGATTAAAAAAACTGTGGGTCAGCTGACCTACCAAACCCTCATCTTGGTCCGCCCCTTGTTGAATCTAAKCTTTATGTACGTAAGTACTGCACCTATAAAATTGTATATTCCTTTGGGAATATGTAAATCAATAAATAAGTTCAATGTACGATAGATTACATTAAAAGTACGTAGGTAAGTATGTGTAAGTATGTGCGTATAAACAGCCATTTAGGATTACGTTTTTTAATAAACGATATAATATGAAGTTCATATTATGAAGACTATTATAATATAATCACTTATAATTATAGACATTGAAAAATGAAAAAAAAAACATTGAAAAACAATCAACTACAATTTKCAATCAAATGTATTGTTTAAACTCTTTAAGTTCGACAATATCGTCTTTAAGAAAATTTAATTTCGAATCTGATCGTCCATTCTCATCTGAGCTATTTTTTGCGATATTGATTGCAAATAATCTTTAAAGGAGTAAACTCTGATTAAGACATAATATATTTACAGCATTAGTTAAGGTTTTTTTTTCATTAATTTAACTCAAGTTGAATTTTTTACATATTTTTTTAACTTTGGTACACTTGTGAGTTCTAAATATTAATTCTTTTACAAACTTATTATTTAATTATAATTATGTTTTGGTGTTAGCTAATCTGGAGATTACAGATTGCATTCTTCAGTGTATTCTTATTGTTTAATTTTTTGAAATTGTGTTCCTTGAAATGCATTTGCCGACGGGCGACGTGGGTTTCCTTATCAATTTTTAATGTGTTAACATCTTTACGCCCCCCCCCCCCCCCAAAAAAAAAAGAAAGAATAATGTGTGTAAATAATGGGTCTAGAGTAAATGGTATAAATTCGATGTCACGAAAATAGTGTAACGGAAGTTGCGTAATCGCTTAATTGACAAAATATAATAATATAATGATAATAATATCACATTTATTGACCATGCGGAATAATCAAACACAGCGACGCAGTGGGCATGGCTTGGAGAGCAGCGGTGACCAATGCCACGGGCTACCAGCGTTATCGCCACCACGTGACCACGCATAATAACCAATCACAGCGATGCAGTGGGCGTGACTTGGAGAGCAGTGGCAACCAATCCGCGGGCAACCAGCGTTATCACCACCAAGTGGCCACGCGCAATAACCACTCACAGAGACGCAGTGGGCGAGACCATGTCTATAAATACGAGTGCGGAGCATGCAACTGCCAACTATTGAACTATGTAAGTATTGTAATTGTAAGCATTCAGTATTCTACACGTCTTTGTCGTAGCAAGACCCATCACGGGCTGACTTGCGCGATTTAAATCTTCTCTAACCGATAAATAACAAATAATGGCAAAAACCAACTTAGAAAGGGTAAAATCATATCGGGAGCGTCAACGTGCAAAAAAAAGTCAAGGCCTAAAATAAAGAATATAAAGAAATCCCAAAAATGATGTAATAAATTTCGACTACTGCATCCAGTTCAAACGTATCAATCGTTCTCATGGTGGAGTTGCAATTTATAAAAACCATAACAACAACATTACAATCACACCACACATAACCATCAACAGTCGTCAAGCAAGTGCCATGGGCGTATCGATAGAAGCCATTGGTGACATATGCACAACTGAACTTAAATTGAAGAATGGACAGAAAGTACTTGCGGTAGTGGTCTACATCTCACCAAATCAACGAATCTAAGCCATCATGAAGTTTATACATTTCATAATTCTTCCATTTACTGCAGCTCGTTTAGCACTTCTTGAGGAGAACTATGTTAATTTACCAATGATTATGAGTGGAGATTTCAACAAAAAATTTAACGATCCTAAAGCACAGCCACTGATTRAATTCTTAAAAAACGAATTCGGACTACAGATGAACTCAAACAGAACTTAACACTGAACACACAACACAGCATGGGACAACCATTGATGCTGTTTTCCAACGGGGATTGTATACATTGAAAACACAAGTTTACGTATCTTATTTCAGCTATCACGAATCCCTTATTGCATGCTTGGTAAATTTATCAGAACCTCAATTAGATATATCACCTGAATCTTTATCATCATTATTACCTGAAACATAAATAAAAATAAATTTACACATATTATAATTTTAAATTTTGTTGAAAAAAATTATTAACCCAMAAAAATCCTGAACCGACCAAAAAAAAAGCGTAACAGATGTTAACACAATATTTRAGCGTCAGGTACAAACTCTGACACACACGGTTATTTTTTTTTCATTAATTTAACCCTTGATTTTTTCGTATACATTTTTATAACTTTAATAAGCAGATGCCTTATTTTAATCGTTCATAATTTAATTAAATATTGCAAATTGTGTATAATACACAATGTGTATTTCGGTTTTATAATCTGTTGATTAAAGACTGCAGTCTTCGGTGTGTATTCCTACTATAAAATTTTTTTTTCTTCTTGAAATCTATTTGTCAATGGGCTTTGGGGCTTTCCTTCTCGTTTTTTTTTCATGTTTAAAAATCAAGAAATAAACTAAGTTTTTTTTATTTATTAAAAACTAGGTATTTTTTTTTAATTTTCAATAATTAAACTATAGTTAATTTTATTGAAATATTATTAAGGTGTTTTGAATCAAATTGTTTTAATCCTTGCCCTGGAGTGAACTAAATTAAACTGAAAAAATTTGTGATTCCTCACTTGAAGATATGGCACACTCATCCAAAATATTTTCCATTTTCAATTATATTATGAAGTAGGTACAAAATATTAAAATGRTAAAATAAAAAAATAAAAAATAATTTAAATATAAGTTATTATGGGTTTGTGATAAGCCATTATTAGCAGTCTGCTGTGATYACGGACTAAGATATAAATGATATAATGGACTGGCATCGAGTACAATATCTGTGAGCCGAAAAGTATCGTGACGCGGGAGTGTGGGGGGAATTTGAGTTCGAATGATTTTAGCGCTATCTAYACGCCCATTATATTGATAAAATTAATCTCAAAATAATTATAAATTTAAAATWACAAATATTTACAATACAATGGAAAATGGAACTACAAAGTAACAGGCTAAAGCTAAAAGCACTAAAACAGTGCATCAAAAGAATAACCAATTTTACGCTGCTGGCTGCTCGCGGCCTATTTGTAGAATATTACCACTAKATGGCGTTMTAATCATTCGGACTTTTGTATGATGGTGGAGAGGTGAAGAGAACATAACATTTGATACTCGGTCCCTCCTACTCCCCCAGCCAATTCGATGCCAGTCCATTATATCTTAGTCCGTGGCTGTGACATTGAACTATATGATAACTATATGTTATCATATATAGTTCAATGGGCTGTGATAGTATGATACTGATAAGAGCTATCTCTAGATACTCTATACTCGACTATATAGTAATAGTTGTAGTAATTTAATTGTAGTCTTGTCGCTCATTCAGGCGAAACTGCGAATGACAATTATTAGACCTTACTTATCCTAATCGTCAAACTCAGTTTCTGACTAGTGTTTACTGTTTATTCATTAGAACATTTGAGGAAGAAAAAACAACATATTACTATTTATTTCAATATTTCACGTTTTGTGCAATAAATTGACAGATGGTAAATGTTTACTTTTGTTTTATTTAGAAATGTACTGTTTAATTTTACGTGCATTTCATTTACAGGCCAGTGTTGTTGTCGTTGGGTTGGGTCTGGCTGTAGCTGGTTTTGCTGGTCGACAAATCTTAAGAGTTGCGCCACAGGTTGCTCAACAGATGAGCGAAGTTCTCAAAACAATGACATCCGAATCGGGAATTTTGGTAATATAACATGACATTATGACCTTATCGATGTTGTTACAAACAATTTTTTTTTCATTTTGCTTTTAGTCAAGTAGTAAATTTCATAAAGGTGGATTTGAACCTACCATGTCCAAACGTGAAGCCACGCTCATACTTGACGTATCAAATAATGCTCCGAAAAATAAAATCAAGGTTAGCTAAATTATATTATAGTTCTATAAAATCTTWACTGCCATGAGTATTTAACTTAACATATTTATTTTATACTTATACAAATCTATAGATCCTTACTAGGTTATAAAATTATTTTCCGCTTTCATGCTACCTATGTCTTATGATTATTTTACTTACTTACATAATTAATATAAATAATAGATTTCCATATAAGTACGATAAGTATTTGAAACATAAGCAGCCTTGCTATTATGAAACATTTAAATACTACTATATTTTATTTATTTATTTTTTGGATAAATCGGTATTCTGAATTACTATAGGTAGCTATTTATTTTTTTGTCATTCGGATGTCTATATTTTTTAATTAGTTAAAAAAAATACTTATCTAAAAGGTATGCTATTAACAATGTAAAATATTATTTTATTATTACATTACATAATAGGATCAGATAAAAACAATTTTATATTATTTTAAGTTATTATAGGTAATAGGAACACTATAGTTATACATGTTTTAGTATAGTGTATCACTTAACCTATTTGCGCTGCCATTGAGTCACTAAATTTCACAGAAATATATACTTAAGTGTTATTAGTGTTTTCAGATGGTGAGGGAGTGGTAGTTGTGATGGACCTTTTTTCTAGTCTCAAATAATTTATGCTTTTGGTATTGTACAATATTATGAATTTTGTGATAGTTGATAAATAGTAACTATTTAATATCAACCATTTGAAAATTTGTTGAATTTTACCTTCACTCCAACATTCAGACCAATATTCCTAAAATAAAAATTTGGCAGCTAAACTGAAACACTCATAAATCTTCTAAAACAAGTATAGATGCCTTATGTTTATGTATTCGTTAAATGTTTTCAAATATTTACCAATTATTTTAAATATTATGTACCGTATCAATGCCTACKTTGATTCTTGAGACACCATTTAAAATACCAAACATTACATTTACTTATGTAGTTATGTAACTTATTATTTCCTAATTTAACAAAACATTTTATGAGCTTGTCAATAGGTTGACATTGCTGGCCATTCATAGAAAAGTGTGAGTTGATCCCAATGATTTTAACGATTGATTTCATGCCTCAAAAATCAATATCAATTTATTTAATTGTATTAATCTAGACAATTAAATTTTTTTTTATGCAAGTCATGGTAAAACAATGTTTTTGAAGTAATTTAATGTGCCTATAATCTTTATTCTATTGTTATTGTAGACAATAAAAATACATAATTTTGTAAATGAAGAACGTTCATGATTTCGATAATATTTGAAGGTAACAATTTTGAACTGGATTAATGATAAATTAATGGTAAATTTAATTTATAACAAATAAATTAAATAAAACACTTTTTTCTAAAATAACTTCTTATTAAAATATAAAAGAAGTTAAATATAAAACATTRCATATAAATACTCTAGTTTTTGTTCTTAGTTTACTCTGAAAACTCATCTGTACAAATCTGATTGGAGCTAATATCGATTAATTCAGCTTCTACTTATTCAGTATGAATAATATGTACTCATCTGTTCTTGTAGCACAAGACTGTTTTTAGTTACTGCAGTTTTGTTTTTCAAACTAGCATATGTTATTTACACGGTTTGAATCTTTATTTCAAGCCTTTGTCCATACTACCAAATAATTATGCGAGCTGCTGACTTATAAATATAACTGAGCGTATGAACCCACCATTAAATAATTAAAATTTATTGAAAATCTGTGTCTTTATGCTAAATTGTTTAGTTGTTTCATCACAGGATATTATAATTCTGTGGTTTTATGTCTAAAAATAAATGCAACAATTTACATACAAGTGGTATTTTATTAAATACCACCATATTATATTCTGAGAGAAAAATTTAACTTTATTTAATATGTTTTTATTATATTGTCGTTTAGTAAGTATTCTTCAAAGTTCACACATAAAATATGCCAATTGTTTTCAGCTTCCACTGAGCAAATTTAGTTTAGTCAACTTCAGTATAAATCGCTATCTATAGTTACAGTATGTGATAAATTTTAAGGGACATGGTATCAATTTTTAAAACTTACCTCAATTCTATAAAAAATTTTAACTATATTTTACATTTTAGTTGTAACTTAATAATTAAATACCTTTCCACTAATCTGCGGTCTAATACCTATTAAAGAGCAAGGGATGGGGTTGATATGGTGTATGTATTATATTATAAGAATAAACTTTATTTTCACAGAAAAAATCTCAGGCCTTGTAATTTTTGGATTTTGAAAAATATTTTTTATSTTAAAGAAAACTTCTTATTAAGATCTGATTWTTCAATTAAATTTCAAATGATGGTATARAATAATTTATAAAAAGCTCAAAATCATTTTATTTTTAAAGACATTTAATTCTGTTTAAAATTTAAATATTGAAAAAACTGAGTTCAATCTGACCTGTAGAATTTTATCTTTTCTAAGTTAAAAAAACAATAATAAAATTTGGTTGCTATTWAA